CACACACACACACACACACTCACACTCACACACACACACACACACACACACACACACACACACACACACTGGTATTCCTATCATTATGGGTTCATTCCATAGGCGTAATGGATTTTATTCTGTACAAACTGTATTTTCTATCCCCTTACCCAAACCCTACTTCTAAACCTACCCCTCACACAAAACTACAGGCATTTTTAGATTCTCAGAACACTTCAGTCTCTATGATTTAAAAACTTGTTTCCTCATGGAGTCCAAAAAAGGTCGAAATTTGCTGGTGGGGACATTTGGTCACCATAACATAAGTGAATACCTATACACACACAGTGGCTCTGAAAACGTACACTTAACCCTTAAACTCACACTTACCCCTGTAAATCCTGAAATGTGAAATAATAGTCCAAACAATATTTTGCATGTGTGTTTTCTTCTTTTAGTTGATAAATCAGGGTTTTTATTCAGAGGCCCAAACTGAACAAGAATATGCAATTTAGTGCAGATGCTGATATTTATATGACCAAAAATTAAGATGAAATTCTGATGCTTATAATGTAAATCTGTGAGATATTTATAACATTATAGCAGATACTTAAATAAAATGATGTAAATATCTCTATATCTCCAATAATATGTCTTAGCAAGATGATATTTAAATGCTTAGTTTGATTATCAAAACATAATGCAATGCAATGATGATTGAGAGATGAACAAACAAACTTTCCTCAAATGCCTGATGATCATATTTGAGACTTACATTTGAACATGATTTTTCTAAAAATGTTGTCTGCATAATCAAGTAAAGCTAAGTTTCTTCAGTTCAGTAAGTGTTTATCATGAAATATTACTAACAATATAAAAGTTGTTCTTATATTTACTTTATAAAAATCACTAAAGATTTCACAGCAAAAAGCAAGTGAAGCACAAGCTGAAGGTGGATGTTTGTACAATTATACTAAAAGACCCTTAACTTGATTTAAAAAAGTGTGTGTGTGCAACAGGTTTTTCAGCAAAGAATTGATCATGTTGATCATTTAGAGACCTTTTGTGTATCAAATAAGATACAGAAGGCTTTATCGGATTAAAAATGCATGAATGTAACAGAAAAATAATATATACAAAATATAAACACGTTATGCAGTATGCATGAAATTTACTGAAGGCTATACCGCCACCTGCTGGCTGATGTTATACATATGTTAATGTGTAATATTAAACATCCTCTTGAAATATATTGTCTTCTCTCTGTAGCTGTGGCGGGACAATCGGCCAGATTATCTGAATGTTCAGCTCTACCTCAGTAACACTCAGGGATTACAGGTGTGTGTGCTTATATCTCATTTTATTACTGCTTATTTAATATTAATTTATAACTTGAGTTTTGTAGATGCAAGCATTGTTCTTTTGTTTACAGAAAATGTAAACATCTAGTTCATTATTTTACAATAAAATATGCATATATCAGTTGTCATACTGAAGTAATTTCTTTCATTGTGTGTTTTGAAGAGCATCGGTGAGGAACGTTACCGTTTTTTGAGCTCCAGGCTTCGGATTGGTCGGCCAAAATGGAAGCTCCTTTTCCAGGAAATAAGGAGAGCCAATCAGCTGTGAGTATGATGAATGCATCCATTATTGGCTGAAATAATGTAGTTATGTGGGCCATTTTAATGATTGCAGTAATCAAAAATGATGATGTGTGTGTTTGTCCTGCAGTAAAAGAGTGGGGGTTTTCTGCTGTGGACCCAAAGGGATCTCTAAAGCGTTACACACTCTGTGCAATTCAAACCCACACACAGGAACTGCATTTGAGTACAACAAAGAGACCTTCAGCTGAGGGACGCAAGCAAACCCATCGTTTAATGCCAAATAAAAAGCCATTAGAGTCTCTGACACTGAGGAATGAAGACAGGAGAAGACAAATGTGGATGAAGATGTCTGGAATTCATGCACCACATCCTCGTCTAAAAATGAATCCTCGGACAAAGAGATGGAGAGCCGGTAAACAGTGTAATGAGATGGAAAACTTGCACAATTACGTTCTTATTCAGGGAATATTTGTGATTCTGCATGTAGTTTGTCTACATGAACCTGCACAACCCTTGATAGACCCTTAAATGAATAGTTCACCCAAAAATTCCAAAAAATGTACTCATTCTCAGGCCATCCAAGATGTAGATGAAGGAATGAAGACAGGAGAAGACAAATGTGGATGAAGATGTCTGGAATTCATGCACCACATCCTCGTCTAAAAATGAATCCTCGGACAAAGAGATGGAGAGCCGGTAAACAGTGTAATGAGATGGAAAACTTGCACAATTACGTTCTTATTCAGGGAATATTTGTGATTCTGCATGTAGTTTGTCTACATGAACCTGCACAACCCTTGATAGACCCTTAAATGAATAGTTCACCCAAAAATTCCAAAAAATGTACTCATTCTCAGGCCATACAAGATGTAGATGAGTTTGTTTCTTCATTAGATTTGGAGAAATGTTGCATTTCATCACTTGCTCAGCAATGGATGCTCTGCAGTGAATGGGTGCCGTCAGAATCCAAACAGCTTATAAAAACATAGCAATAATCCACACCACTCCAGTCCATCAGCCAAAAGCTGCTTGTTTATAAGAAACAAATCCATCATTAAGACACTTTCAACTTTCAAGATTTGAGTCCATAATCCATAATAACACTTCCTTCTTTTGTCATCTCATATCAAAATCATATTTGTTTAGAGCTGTTTTGGCTTGTAAACGGTGCTTTGTCTGTGCAGATTTCTCTCCTGATTCAGCCCAGATGACTTTTTCACTGGAGAAAACAATATTATGGACAGAGGACTCAATAATGGATTTGTTTCTTACAAACACGCAGATTTTGGCTTCACAAGATATTAACTGATGGACTGGAGTGGTGTGGATTACTTGTGGATTATTGTGATGTTTTTATCAGTTGTTTGGACTCTCATTCTGACGGCACCCATTCACTGCAGAGTATCCATTGCTGAGCAAGTGATGGAATGCTACATTTCTCCAAATCTGATGAAGAAACAAACTCATTTGTATCTTGGATGGCCTGAAGGTGAGTAAATGTTAAGTAAATTTAATTGTAAATTTTTGGTTGAATTATTCCTATAAAAACTGGGTTAAATAGCACTAGTTCACCCAAAAATGAAAATTCTGACATCATTTACTCGCCCTCATGTCATTTCACATGTTGTCTTGGTTATTAATACTATGTTTTGGCTTATTGTATACCTTTATGAACACAAAACGTACACAACCATATTTAAAGTATAACTTTGAGTCCTAAATGAACTGCACTGCTATTATATTACCACTGCCAAAGATTACATTTAATCACTGATTTATATAAATCTTTTTAATATTACTTTGTATGTGTATTATATATATAAACACACAGTGACAATACAAGCACCATGAATATCAATAAACTGGTTTGACTAGAGACCTTAGTTGTGTTCAGAATACTAGCTTACTGCACAGTGTATATTGTGTACTATTAATTAGCATGTGAAACAATAAGCATTTCAAACACTGGTATGCAACATTGATGTCATATGACCTCACTGTGTTGCGTTTTTGAGTGGCTTGGAAATTAAAAGGATTATTTTACATTTTAAATCCAATTATTTAGTCTATTATCTAACTTTAGTCAGATTGCTTAAGGCAATTGGTCAGTGAAATTGCTTATTCCCACTGGAACCGGAAAACCAATCAAGCGCATTGCATTATGGGATGCAGTATTTTAATCAATAATATATTTTGGTTGTGTACTGCATGTTTCGACCAATATGTACAAAACAATTCAAATATTTGGAGTTGGTAAGATTTTTTTGATGTTTTTCAAATATGTCTCTTCTGCTCACCAATGCAGCATCTATATGATCAAAAATACAGTAAAATCAGTAATATTGTGAAATATTATTACAATTTCAAATAACTGTTTTCTATTGTAATATATTTCAAAATATAATTGATTTCTGTGATCAAAGCTGAATTTTCAGCATCATTACTCCAGTCTTCCGTGTCACATGATCTTCAGAAATCATTCTAAGATGCTGATTTGCTGCTCAAGAAACATTTCTGATTATTATCAATGTTGAAAACAGTTGTGCTGCTTCATATTTTGTGGAAACCGTGATAGATTTTATCTTCAAGATTAGAATAGAAAGTTCAAATGAGCAGCATTTATTTGAAATAGAAAGATATTACAAAAGTCTTTACTGTCACTTTTGATTAATTGAATGCATCCTTGCTGAGTAAACTCTTACTGACCCCAAACATTTGAACAGTAGTGTATGTAGTGCGCATTATGCATACTAAAGCAAAAATTTTAACGCAGCCCTTGTTGCATGACTCCGGTTTAGAGGCGAGACCTTGTCAGGTTTGTCACATGACCTGGGTTAACTGACTGTTGTGTCTTTTTCCCGTCGGTACGGCGTATCCGTCCTCGCTGACCGTCTGTAGGGTCACAGTGTAGTCTGATATGAAGTCGATCCCTCCTCTTCGCTGCTGTTCAGAAGCGGCTGTCTCTCCCCATATGACTTTCTCCTCTTCGGCCGTCTGCGACACGCCACAGTGATAATAACTGCAATAATTCCCGCCACGGCCGCCCCGAGGATCCCCGCGGCCAGCAGCCAGCGCCAGATCTCCCGAGCTTGCTCTAGATACGGTGTCAGAAACTCCTGCACAAACCGCTGACCTGACACAGAGAAAAGTGATTGAGAACAGAGAGAGACTGAAGAAGCAAGAAAGTCTCTGAATGCATGCAAATGACTCACTTGGGTCCTGTAAATATGCATATTCATAACCCAGAGCTTTAGTCGAGAGGAAATAATCTCCGTTTCTGTAGAGAGGGATGAACGGGACCATGTAATAGCCGTCGTTGTGTCCGATCGGGGCATTGGCGGTGGGGTAGTGTGTGCGGGGGGGCTGGTGTCTCCTCAGCCATTGCTCAAAGATGCTGAAACAAACACAGAGTTGCAATGAGAAAGTCAATGGGGAATGAGGTTAATCATGTTTGGATTCATGTTTCAGTGAAACCTTCTCAGCTATTGTTGTGTTTTGCATTCAAATATGCTTTAGGTTGTTCTGGCCAGTTGCTATAGATGGTTTCTTACTGGCTCAAGTCAAAAAAGCCAACCCTCGAAATTTCTTGAGGTTTTTGCTGATTATGGGTTGAATTTGTATGAAACAATTAAAATATGCATTAAACAAAAATGCAAAACTGTGTTAAATTCAACCAGACAAAGTTTAGAAGCTAAAGTTTTGTTGTCTGTCTCACATTAAAATGTCAAATTAAAATGCACTGAACTTAACTTTGGGATTTCCCAAACTGGGGTTCGCAAATCCCTGCGGGTTTGTGAGTTGATGAAATGCTAATAATTAAATCTTTAAAATGTAAAATTAAAATAAATCATCTTAAAATAAAATAATCAAAACAAAACTACTAAAAAAGAGATATGAGAAAATGTGTATATATTTTTATTAATGTAAACCCCTGCTAATTTGTGAGTTTATGAAACGCTAATAATTATTTTAAATCTTAATGTAAAATTAAAATTAATAAATAATCTTAAAATAAAAATAATAAAAATAAAACTTTAAAAAAATTACAAGTATTTATATATAATTTTATTAACAACTCGAACAGCCCTGTACTGTACATAAAAATGAAACACTTACTGAAAAAATACTATATATATTTATATTTACCTGCATGCCATTTGGGCATTAACTGACATCATAGAACCATGCAAACTTAGTTTAAAAGTATAGTAAAGTCAATATACAAGTAGTAAAATAGTTACATTATTGAAATAGCACACTGTAAAAAATTACCATGAATTTAACGGTAAAAGATTGTAAAAATGCTACCGTAAAAACCTGTTAAATAGCTAATGGTGAATTCCCCTGCTATATATGGTGAAAACTGTATTGGCCATTACATGTAATTTCACGGTAGTATACCATTTTTGGAAGTGAAAGACTGTATAATTTACAGTGAATAACCATAAATTGACATTCCCAGAATTCCCTGCGTTACATTTCAAATTTGATGTTTTTTTGTTGAAATAACTGTTGCTTCTTAGTTTTTCGTATATTAGGGTTGTATGTTACACCTAATGTTGTTAAATGAATGTTTATTGCGTCATTTCAGTTTCATGTGTGTTACCATGATGGTGTTTAATGTTTGTGTGAATGACACTGTGCACCTTCTATATATGTTATTATTTAAAAGCTGCTTGTGATGGGCTTTGGTTCATCATGTGACTTTCTCATCACCACCTGCATTTGGTGGTTATCAGTGTATTACAAAGGTACAAAACAGATTTCAGTACTTCAATAGGTTGGGTATATTAACATTATATCAGTTAATGAAATTACGGTATTTAACTGTAAATGTATGTTAAAACCGTAAAACCTAAAATGTTGCTACCGTATTTTTTACGGTAAAATTCCGGCAACCACAGCTGCCGGTTTTTTACCGTAAATTTTACAGTGTAAATTAAAACCAAAGGGGCACTTCAAGTAAATATTTTAGGTCAAATGTGTTTGGCTACCAAAAAGTTTGGAGAATCCCTGTATTAATGTATGTAATATTTATATAATATTGCATGATTTGAGGTGTCATTCATGACTATTGCGCAGTTTTATGGGGGAGATATGCATCAAAATGCTCAGGGTTAGTAGCTTGCTATGCGTGTATGCATTTCACCTGTCGATAAAGGCATGATGTAGAAGGAAGATGGGGTCGTTGGCGGATCCCTGCACTGAAGACATGGATCCGTTCATGAAGACGTGTAAGGAGTTGTGCATCAAGCTCTGACCCGTTACTGCCAGCCCCGACTCAGGACTCGCAAATCCTGAGGAAAAGGTGAGACGCGTTCAGTGTTTAGAGCCTGAGGTGTTAAAGAAGTGTAAATTCTGTTTTTCTCACTCCAAATGTGCCGTTGCTTTACCTTCCAGAGCGTTCCTGAAGCTCATGTTGGCGCGTCTGTCCATCAGGCCCGTCCCGTAGTCTGTTAGGCTCAGCACTGACTCCACGTCTGCGGAGGTGGGCAGCCGCGGGACACGCTTTTGCTCGTGGTCTCCTGGATTACGCAGTAACGGTCCCTCTGGAGACCCGTCACACAAAACCTCACGCTGGTTGTAGTCTTCAGGTTGTGAACAGATCACCTGCACAGGTATAACAGACGCTTATTAACACACCAGCAGACAGTCCAACATAATAAAACAAAACAGATCGAACCAATAAAGGTGTAATATGTGAATCAGCCTGTCAAGAACACAAATCAAAAGAAATAAACTAATAATCATACCTTACTTTTCAAAAGTTTGGGGGTCAGTAAAAAAATGTTCATTTATGTGGAAGAAATTCATACACTTATTCAGCAAGGATGCATTAAATTGATCAAAAGTGACAGTAAAGACATTTAGAATGTTACAAAAGATTTAAACACTGTTCTTTTGAACTTTCTATTCATCAAAGAATCCTGAAAAATAAAATGTATCACACTTTCTACAAAAATATTGAGCAGCACAACTGTTTTCAACTGATAATAATCAGAAATGTTTCTTGAGCAGCAAATCAGCATTTTAGAATGATTTGTGAAAGATCACTGGAGTAATGATGCTGAAAATTCAGCTTTGATCACCGGAATAAATTATATTTTACAACATATTCACATAGAAGACAGCTATTTTAAATCATAAAAATATCTCTCAATTTTTACTCTATTTTTAATCAAATAAATGAAGCCTTGGTGAGCATATCTATATTAAAAAATCTTACCAGCCCCAAACAAAGTTATTTTTTGTTTAATTATTATTTATTATTTAATTTTTTTCTAGTAATACATAAAATAAATATTATAATGAAATCATTACTTTTATTAAATAAAAATAGCTGAAATAAAACCTATTTTTTTAGGACTATTACGTTTTTTCATTGTGACATTATTTTCATGACAATTAAGATCATACCACTAAACAGTTTTGAAAAAGACTAAAAAGAAATCACCTTATTCTAAAAACAAGGAGTTATGAAGGTGTTTTGAAAACCTGTGCAGTTTTTTCATGGATAAAGCCTATCTGTCTCTAATGACTAATACAGCTCATTTCTCGTATGTTAATTGGATGCCGTTTCACCTCCCTGCTGGTCTTAAGAGATCTTAAGAACGCCTACGCCAGCAGCAGATGATGAGGAGAGAGAGAGAAAGATGGAGCAAAATAAAATGACAAATCACAACTCCATTTTAGAGTGGCATTTGCCTGTGCAAAACTCAGCATGATACTAGAGGATTGTGGGTGGTTGCCAGGTCATTGCAAAGCAGTTTCTAAGCTGTTCTGAGTTTCTTGGTGGATAAAGTTGAAAGTTCTTGTAATAATCTGGTCTGTAGAAAGTTGATTCCCTGCTTGGTGTCTGAGTGTATCAGATGTTTTCAAAGTGTATTATTTAAGGCTAGGAGTTTTACATATTTGTATACACATTTTTTTTTTCAAACCAGGGTTATTGTAGTTATCATCATTACAAAAATGTTATTTGAAATGAAATGTTAACTGAAATGAAATAAAATATTTTAAAAACTTAATTTATTTCAGCTAGTTGCCATGAAACATTTTATGTAGTTTTGCTTAATGTACTAAAATAACTAAAACTGAAATAAAAATGAAAACTATATAGACAAAAAAAAAAAAAACACTAATAAAATGTTTATAATAAAATTGGAGAAAATAGAATTACAAACTACTATAAACTATAATTTTAAATTGTAAACTTTTTTCAAAATATTACTGTTTTTACTTTTTAATTTTTTTTAAATCAAATTAATACAGCATTGGTGAGCAGAAGAGACTGCCTTCAAAAACATAAAAGACTGACAGACCCACACTTGAAATAAAATAAATGTTTTAATAAAATAAAACATAAAAAACTTTAAAATTATTTTTATTTCAGCTAGTTGCCAAGAAAAGCATAAAAACACAACAAAATTACTAAGAGTTGAACAAAAAATGAAATAACAATGGAAAAATATCAAATTAATAATAACTATTAGCTATTTTAAGCTGTAATAATATTTCACAATATTACTGCCTGAACATTTTGTTCTTCAGATTTAAACACATTAATTACAGATCCCAAAATCTAAAAAAGTTAATTCTAGTAAAATAAAATATAAAAAAATTAGGCTTATTTTATTTCAGCTAGTTGCCAAGGAAACATTTGATCATTTTGATTTAGTTTAACTTGATATACTTAAATAACAAAAAAAAAAATGAATAAAAAAAATAAATAATAAAACTATTAAGAAAAATGATACTGTTGTCTCAAACTACTAAAACAACACTGAGCCAAAGTCTGTCTGTACTGCTCAGTGATGCTGCTTTGGTTAATTCTCTTGTGGCTCTTGTCGAGGGTCTGTGCTGAAGTTAATGGGGGTTTAGGGGCCAGACACACTCGTGACCCTCTACAGCCCAAGAGAGATTAAGAGAAAAAATGTTTATATAGAATGTAGCTTAAATACATAAAAAAATGAAGAAAATTGTTTGATATCCTGTATTAAAAAGATTTAACTTTTTAAAAAATGATTTTCTTTTTAAGCTACATTAAAAAAAAAAAAAATCTGACATATACAGCTATCACAATACTTTTGAAGGTACTACAAAAATCAGGCCAATTTTTAAAATTGAAAAGATTTTATTTATTTGTTTGTTTATTTATTTATGTATCTGTCTATCTATCTTTTTTTTCTTCAGTACTGACAATAATTTCTTCAACATAGCCGTTATATGTCCTATGATACAGTTTTAGTTTTAGTTTTAATTACTAGAAGGATAAGTCGAACAAAAACATAATAAATACTTGAAAAATCATGTAAAATGAAACTATAAATCTGAATGCTTTACTTAACTGAAAATAGTTTATGGATTAATATTAACTTTTTTGAAGTAAAAATGTATGAACAATTCTTTTAGGTTTATTGCCTTTTTAATCCCTATTGTGATTGATTTTTTATTATTTTATTCAACATTTTTTGAGTTAATTAAATCTAAAACGATAATAAAATCATGAATTGAAATAAAATAAACATTAACTGAAATAGTATAAAAATTATTTTTTATTTTATTTCAGCTAGTTGCAAAGGAAACATTTCTAATTTTTGTTTACAATAAAATAACTAAAACAAAGTAAACTAAAAAGGATTTAAATTTGACTTTTTTCACACTTAAATCCTAAAGGGTGACTTTAAAATGTATTACTATTATTATTATTATTATTATTAACAATAATAATAATTTACAAATAATATGACAGGCTATTATCTACCTTGTTTGCGTAATTTAACCTTATCTAAATTTAAACTATGCTATAATAGTTTCATTGTGTTCACTTGTTTGCCCAAAAGCTACTGCAAAAATATGAGGATATTGGGATTTTAGTTTGGTTTTGTGTGTCTGCAAGAGAAAACAAGCATTTAATTGGACTTTTGACTTCATAAAATTTTCATTTAAAACTACATTTCAGGAAATGCAAGAGCAAACATTACTCGAGGGATAAATGACTAAACCACACTGTATTACTGGCATGTAAAAATAATGTTCTAATGTTTTCATGTTTACCCTCCAGGAGGAGAACACTGAGGACGGGCTGATCAGGTTGGGGTTGAGAGGACTGCGCGCCCCCATCAGCTCATCCGTGCACACCTGACAGTCCTGCGCGTCGCGCCAGTCCCAGTACGGGATGGTGAAGTTAAAGTCCCCGGTCAGCTTCCGGATCTCGTGCTCCCAGAACAGCAGGTAAACGCGATGCCAGGGCAGAAACGCGGCCGATTCGTGCGCAAAGTCAATGTCGGCCCACACGTTCCCGGGACCCCCGAGCAGCGCGTCACGGGACACGTAATAGTGCATCCAGACGAACAGATCGTACACGCTGATGTCGGCGAACATGGGCGTCGAGCCGTTGTTCATCTGCGCATACGTGCCCGTCGCGATCACATAATCGGGGCTGATGGAAGTTTTGGCGAGATTGAGGTACGAGATGAACCTCTGCCTTTCAGACACGGATAATTGGAAGATGTTTCTGCGCACAGATTCCCGTCGTTCCCCGCAGTTGGCGCCGAAGTAACCGAACTTGCACTCGCCGCAGTCGAAGCCCATGTAGTTTCCGGCGCACTGGCAGGTTTGGTTGTAGAACACCAGAGGCCAGCGCTCGCGGTCGTCCAGGCCTGAATGTGGGTACTGCGGCCCGTCGGGAAGATCGGAGACCGTGACGTCCTGGCAGAAGCCTCGACCCGACAGGGAGCCGCACACCGAACCGTCGCCCGGCCAGACCGGACAGCAGCGCTTGCTCTGCAGGACGTCCGGTGTGGTGCACGGCCGAGGAAACTGCTGGAGAGACGGACTCCAGAACTGAATGAAGAACAGAAGCAGAGGGAGAGACATGATGAGAGCCAGACGCATTAGAGAACTTCAGCTCGCTTTCTCTTTACACACTGCTCTGTGTCCCTCCTTTCCTCACACACACACACACACACCCTCGTATCACATGCTAGGGATGGAACCGGTGACCCCCGCTTGTGCTCGAGTCGAGTGTAAGATCATTTCATTTACAGTTTGGGAAGGAGCTCCTTTCATCCGAAATCAGGCATTTTAACCCAATAACCAGCAAAGTCCACACCGTTAATGAGGGTTTACAGATGCAACTTTGTTTTGCAGCCTGCTGGTGAATAATAGAGTTGAGAATTGGGGTTTAATTCAAATACATTTGCTTGTTTTATGCATTATAACCCTTAAACACAAGCACACACACGCTTTTTCTCATAATTGATTTTGAGGTCAGAAAGATTTCCTTAATGTTTCTGAAAGATGTCTTTTATGCTCAATAAGCTGAATTTATTTGATCAAAAAACAGTAAAAACTGTACAGTTATGAAATATTATTACAATTTCAAATAAGCGATTTCTATTAGAATATATGTTCAAATGTAATTTATTCCTGTGTCAAAGCTGAATTTTCAGCATCATTACTCCAGTCTTCAGTGTCACATGATCCTTCAGAAATCATTCCCATATGAATTTGCTTTCTGATTATTATCAATGTTTAAATCATCATAAATGAAATTTTTCAGGATAAATGGGAACTTCTAAAAAAAAAAAGGGCAGCATTTCTTTGAAAAAAATCTTTTGTAGCATTCTAAATGTCTTTACTGTCACTTCTCATCAATTTAATGCATTCTTGATGAATAAAAGTATTAATTTCTTTGAAACAGAAACAGACCCCAAACTTTTGAACAGTAATGTATTAGTGGCAACAATAATGAAAAGTTGGCAATTTTATACTGATTCTCATTTTTTCTGTTCCATAGTCCTGCAAATTTGTCAAATCACATCCATATTTAGTCCTTTATGCCAAAGCATATTCGATGATAATTCAGTGATGTGATATGGAATGATTACCATGTACCTTGTTTTTATGTTTATTAGATACTTTTATGAGCAAGTTGCACATTTGAATTCATTTTACTCTCTTAATGCACTTCTGAAAATTTTCCAAAAGCATTTTTTTTTTTTACAGAGAATAAAATCTCTAAGAGTTTATTAATGGCTAATTTGTATTGAACCTCAAACTACTCCAGGAATACCATGGTACATGTCCAAACTATGGTGTTATCATGGCGCATTATCCAAACTAATAGCATGGTTCTTTTTTGATGCTCTTGTTATTAATGATGTGTATTCAGCTCTATATGCGTGTCATATGTTTTATCATGTGGCGTTTGGTGAAGCTGCATGTATAGTGCTCTTAGCTTTCTCAAATCATAAGCCCGTCACATGTTACTGTAGTGAGCATGAGGTCCAGATAATCCAGCAATGGCATGAACGTCACAGGATTACTACAGCCGTGGGGTTTCTTTCTCTCTGCAGTCAGGGGTCATCTGCACAATCAAACGGTTTGTGCATTTCATTCATAATGCAAAGAGTGGCCCATAAAAGAATTTAGCTAGTTGCATTTAATGAGAAAATAATAGCATGAATGCACATTTCGAGCAAATATGTAGTGAAAAGAATGTTGTTAGGTTTAATAAAACAAATGTATTGTGACATTTTGGTTGTGAAATGTTGGTAGAACATTTTTATAGTTAATGTGATTTAAGAATGAATGAATGAATTGAATATTTGACATTAGGAACAGGATTATTATATTTAACTAAAACAGAACCTAAAACATTTTCATTACTTGAAATAAAATAAACATGAACTAAAACAAAAATATTTAAAATATTTTATTTCCTCATTTAAATTTAGTTTAACTTGATGTACTAAAATAACAAAACTAAAACTGGAATAAAAATGGCTAGAAATGATATATACACACATATATAAAACTATTAAAAATAAAAAAACAACAAAATTACTAAAACTTTAACTAAAAATAAAAAACTTGTTTAAAATATTAATAAAAATAAACAGTATCTAAGTGATACTAAAATGAGACTGATTGGGAATATTTTAGTTTGTTATAAGTTTAAAATTGAAAATGAGAAAAAGCTATTTATTAGGCTTAATATTCTTATTTCAGAATCAGTGAGGAAAGCTGTGGCTTATTTAACATGATAAATACAACTAGATGTATTAACATAGTTATTTGTGCCAATTAGATATTCTAGCCCAAACCCCCCCCACCCCCCCACCCCCAAAAAATAACAAATTTAAATAAAATAAAAAATAATAAAAACTATTAAGACATGCATACATAAAAACTACTAAAATCATAATACTAAATACTATAATGCTAAAATACTAATACTTCAAAATTGAAATTAAAAATATAAAAATGCAAAAATATAAAAATAAAATTCTAAATATTAATAAAAACTATAACAGTATATAAATTACATTAAAATAACACATGGGAATATTTTTAAGTAGTTGAAACTGCTCATTTCTATTGCAAATGCCTAAAAAGTTATTTTTATCATGCTTAATATTCTTGAGTATTGGTTTGAGATTCAGTGAAAGCTATGGTTTATGTTAGCATGATAAATACAACCATATGTATCTGAAAGAGCTGTAATCTAAATATAACATAGTTATTCATGTCAGTTAGATACACTGGCCCGCTGCCCGACTGCAAATACTCCAGAAGCACTGAATTTGACTTTAATACCTCAAGTGGTCTCCAGGCGGCAGTGTGAGCTGAACTTTTGCCAGTCAGCAGTGGATGAAAGCCAATAAACAATAAACTTAAGTCGTTTCTTCTCCCAGAGACTGGACACACTGCCGTCTGTGGAAGTTCCTGTGTTTGACCTCTGGATGGATGAGACCAGATCATTTGGTAAAATGCAACACAGGTGGGTTCAAATCTACATGGTGGAAATCACAGGTTATGGAAGGCTTTAAATAAAGGGGCTAGTTGTCACAGCTTTTACACTGTTTATACACTATACCATTTTTGAAAGAAATTAATACTTTTATTCAGCAAGGACGTATTAAATTGATCAAAAGTTTCAGTAAAGACATTTTTAATGTAACAAAAGGGTTGTTTCAAATAAATGCTGTTCTTCTATTCATCAAAGAATCCTGAAAATAAAATGTATCTCAGTTTCCACAAAAATATTGGGCAGCACAACTGTTTTCTGCATTAATAATCAGAAATGTTTCTTGAGCAGCAAATCAGCATATTAGAATGATTTCTGAAGATCATGTGACACTGAAGACTGGAGTAATGATGCTGAAAATTCAGCTTTGATCACAGAAATAAATTACATTTTACATATATTTACACAGAAAACAGCTTTTTTAAATCAAATAATATTTCACAATATTTACAGTTTTTACTGTACCTTTATATCAAATAAATATAAATGCAGCTCTGGTGAGCATGAGACTTTCAAGAACATTAACAATATATACAACTATATCAATAAGAAAAAATTAAACTACTGTTCAAACATTTGAGTTTTGCCCATGTTTGTAGTTTGTTTTATATATTACTACTAAAAAGAACAAAAAAAAATATTATTCTTATTATTTTAACATTAATAATACTGATCATAAATAATAATAAATGATACTAAAATAACACTGATTGGTCATATTTTAGCTTTTATTAGAAGTTGAAATGGCTAATTTCTTTTGCAAATGCCTAAAAAACTACACTGAAAACTATACAGTTCTTTCCCTGAAAGCTGGAAATACGTGATATGTCTCTTTAACCGTCACTTATTGGTAGCAGCTTTTCAGAACCAAGAATCTTTATATATCATCTGTGTTTCTATGGCAACAGAGATTATGTCAATGTCATTTTGAGACCCCATCAAATAATTGATTTACTGTGATTTTTATGGGTTTTGTCATATTTGTCGAATGATAATCTCTCTCAGCACACGCCGCGCACTCACAACATCACCGCTGGCCTTCAGCTCACAAGCACACCGAGGTTCAGTCTGTTCCTGCTTCTGTGATCTGACAGATTTACAAGCGACACAGGATAGACAACAGTAGCAGATGCAGGGAATTGATTTTATCCATCATTGATTGGATTGTGGAAATTTGCCGTTTCATTAACAAAATGGAGTTGGAGGGGAGGGATTACAAAGTAAGAGGGATTTGTGACGTCATCTAAAATATATTTTGTATATATATATATATATATATATATATTCATTTTAATTTTAGTTTTAGTAATTTTGTAAGTAGTTTTAGTTTTTTTTATATTTCTGTTTAGCTTTGATTAATTTTTACTTGCCATTTTAATAGTTTTATTAATTTAGTACTAGTAGTAAACATTACTAAAAATTTTGATAATTTTTGCTTAAAGGGATACTCCACCCCAAAATGAAATTGTTGTCATTAATCACATATCCCCATTGTATATATATATATATATATATATACGGTATATATATTCATTTTAATTTTAGTTTTAGTAATTTTGTAAGTCGTTTTTGTTTTTTTATATTTCTGTTTAGCTTTGATTTATTTTTACTTGCAATTTTAATAGTTTTATTAATTTAGTACTAGTAGTATGCATTACTAAAAAATGTGTTCTAACTTTTGCTTAAGTTGAAGTTTTTCATTAAATATTTGTTTATATTTTTTATGTATTTAAATAACAAACATGGTTTTAACTGTTATTTTAGTTAACAATAACAATATTAACTATATGTTTGTTTTAGTAAACTTATAAATATAATCAAGTATAAATTTATATATACATATATACATATGTATGTATGTATGTGTGTGTGTGTGTGTTTGTGTGAATCATATGTAAATATATAATGAAGTGATAAATAATAACAATACTTGTCTTGTTTTGTCAGGGTACCATCAATATTCAGATTAGTTAACAAACTTTTTTCTCATTATTGATTCCTAACTTGTCTGTTTTAGCTCCTCCTTGTCCTTAATATTTGATTGCATCCTTTTGGTGCAGCAACA